CTGAGGGAAACTCTGCCAAGCAAATCTGTATTAGCTGAGGATGCTGGAGGTTTAATCCACATGGAATGCAGGGACAAGCCTCAGAATTGATTCCTTTGAGAGGTGAGGGAGCTGGGGTCCACAGCACTTTCTCCTGCTGCCATGCACAGAGGGTTCTCTAAGGGCTGCTCAACCCTATGGTGTGCATGTGTGAAGTCCTCATGTGTGAAGCGGGGCTACCTCCTCAGCTCAGAGAGCTCAGTGCAGCCCAGGCAGGAGTGGAGGGAGTCAGCAGAGAAACAGTGAAGGATGGATGAGATAGTACTGCTATCCCCCTCCAAAAACCTTTGTGCATTCAATCTGGAAATGCAGCTTTCTGCTATAAGACCTTAGTAATCTCTTTGTTAACAGGTTCCCTTAAAAATCAGACCTCAGGATGAGCACCAGGATGTTTGTCATGCGGCTACTGCTCTGTGGTCAGATCACCTGTGCTCATGCCTCAGTGATACCCACTACTGCCCTAGTCCTAGACTCCATGACACTGAGGTAGACTTGCAGCTCATGTGCTACGGAACCACTGGGGGAGACTGGAGTGAAGATGCAAAGGTTAGACACAGTGGTTCGATGTAGGTGTTAGTCTTACTGAAATCTGAAATATTATCCCATGTAGGTTGTGACAATGCTTGACAATAGGAGACTCCTAACAGTGAGAACTTGAGTGCTGTCCCTTTCACTGCTAAAAAGAGAAAAGAGGCACCTATAGGGCTTGACCAGGATCAGCTCAAGCAGCAGCTGCCCTCACCTGGGAGAGAGGGGTAACTAGACTGCCTTTCTCCTAGACTACCTCTTTTTCTGTTCTTTAGTACCAGGTTTCAGAGGAGTTGCACCTGAGTCCTCAGGAACATGCTGGTACATAGTGCAGCTCTCAGAACTGCACCAGGAGTCCTAATGCTGGTTTTCTTAATCTTTAGCAGAGAATTAATCTAGATGTGGACTCATCCCAGAGTTTGATTGATCCTAATCTATGAAATGCTACAAAATGGCTGAAAATAGTGTTCCGTGGAACCCTGCATAAATCGGCAGCTCATTTAGTCCCTGGTGGTAAGGGACCTCCAGCCTGGATGATGGTGCATCCATCTGCAATAAATTCCTTCACATTACTTGAATCACAACAATGCCCAGGGCTACTACAAATTGGCATCTGAATAAATCTGTGGTGTTGTATATGCTATTTTATAAATTAAGTGAAATTATTTTAGATCCCTAGAACTGTGTAAGTGCTAAATAATGTATTGAGACAGTTGTGGGCAGCTGTATCATCTAAGATGTCACTGTAGTTTCTCTATGATCAAAGTTATTCTGCTATAAGTTATGTCATGATCATGAAATAAAACTGGAATTTACCATCCTGTCTTTCAGCTCATGTAATGTGTGGCAAGATTCAGCATAGAAAAACTATGCCCAAACCTCTGTTGATTTGGTTATTTCCATGACAAAGCCCACTGCTCCGCAGATGTATGAGCTGGCTGCCCACACTCTCTGCAGGAGTCAGTGCCAATGAGGACATAGCATGGACATGAGGGTTCCTGCTCCTCCCACCCCCGTGACTTGAAGTGACTCAGCCAGTGCAATCAGTGCTTCCTGACTTCCTGTCTCTCCTGTAATAACATGAGGTTCAGAGTTCATGTTTGTGTTTGTGTTGCCCATCTCAGCTGCCAAGGTGCCATCCAATCACTTGTTCTCCATCCCTGGTGTCTGCAAATGTGGGAGAGACAGTCACCCTCAGTTGCCAGAAGACTCAGAGCGTTTGCAGTAATTTAGCTTGGTATTAGCAGAAATCAGGGCAATCTTCTCAGCTCTTGATATATCAAGCATCCAGTTTAGAATCTGGGGTCCTTGGGCAGTTCAGCAGCAGTGCATCTGAAACACAGTATCAGCAGCATGCAGCCTGAAGATGCTTCCACTTATTCCTGTCAACGGTGAAACAGTTACCCTCCCACAGTGATACAAGCCCAAACATACATCCCTCCTAGAGAGCAGAAGCATAGGTCTATGTTGCCTAGACTGTTCCTCTTTGGCCCCTATCTGCTGAGAGTGATTCTCACATGCAGCCAGCCTTCAAGATCCCTTGAAAATTTGTAGATGGTCCTTGCTTGGTAGCCTAAGTCTTTGCCTTGCATGAGTGGGTCCAGTGTGGGCCCCTGTTGTTGTTCCAGCTGCTCCTCTTCCATCCTGCCTACTGCTTGTGGTCTGGGAATGCACTGGAAATCTGCAACCATGTGGGAGACCTAGAAGAAGCTCATGGCTCCTGGCTTTGAATAGGCTCAGTGCAGCCACTGCAGCCACTTGAGGAGTGAACCAGGAGACAGATAATTTTTCTGTCTGTCCTTCTTTCTGTAGATCTGACTTTTCCATAAAAATTAATAAAAAGTTTGTTGAAGAGGCTGTGGCAGCTAATGCGAAGCATCTGCTATTTTCAACTCATTGGTGATAGTAGTAAAGGCAAGACTGTCTACTGATTAAAAAAATGAGCTCTCCATGTGAGAGCATCCCTTTGGATTTATACAGCAAAAAATGAAGAACTGCAGGCATTCCAATTAGAAATAGCTTAATACAGTTTATTAGAATCTAAGTTGTAGTTTTCATGCACTAGGAACAGGGGGGTTAGAGACAGTGATTGAGAATGTGGGGATTCTTCTCTCCCAGAAGCCACTGCCTTCTGCCACAGAAGGAGCAGGTTGCTGAACCCTGGGGAACTCAGCCCTAGAGCTGATACTCTCAGCTGCCTGAAGCACTTACAGATGTTCCCCGTCCTCATCTTAATCCCTGGGTTTACCTACAGGTGCAGGTGTTGGTACAGTATTTGCTTCTGTCGTTCACATCTCAGGTTACACGGGTTGTTTGCCGCAACGTGTTTGGTGAATAAGTGCAGAGACCTGGGATTAAATCCCAGCTGAATATAACTTTAAATATCTTCCTACCGCGTGGCCATAGTCTACAGGAGAGGTTGTAGGCTAGAGGAAAGAGAAGCAGGATGATGTGAAGTATCTAGTTCCCGCTGCCCCACTTTCACTCCATGTTGATGAGAATCTTAAATCTAGACCTTCTTTAATTTTTCATGCCATAAAATTCTCTCAAAATTCCAGATGTTCTTCTGTGGGCAATTCCCTGCTATCTAGTGGGCATGTTTCAGAGCTTCCCTGCCTATGGCCTGAGCTACAATTCCCAAGCCTACACAAGGAGTGTGACCTCTGATATGGCTAGAAGGTCAAGGGGAATACATGTGGAACAAGACCTCTGACACGACCGGAAGATCAAGGGAAATAGATGTGTCATATACCAATGACAGTGTCTTTGGTGGGCGGGGGAGGGGGAATCTACCAGAAAGGAAGGTCTTCCATCCGATGATTCACTCTTCAAGTGACCGCAACGGCTGGTGTTGTGCCAATCTGAAACCAGGAACTTCCTCCGGTCTCCCACGTGGGTGCAGGGTCCCAAGGCTTGCGGCCATCCTCGACTGCTCTCCCAGGCCACAAGCAGGGAGCTGGATGGGAAATGGAGCTACCAGGATTACAACCGGCGTCCCTATGGGATCCCAGCATGTTCAAGGTGAGGACTTTTAGGCGCTAGGTCTTGCCGCCAGGCCCTTTTTCTTACTTTTTAAAAGCTATAACCTGTGCATAATAAAGTGGACATTCCTCACCAGCTTGTTTTTGGTGTTTCTTGTGGCCAAGGGACATTATTTGCCTCACTCTCAGTGACTTTGGGACCTGCTGGCAGAACTAAATCTGCAGATTTTTCTCCTTCTCCTTTTTTTTTTTTTCTTCTTCTTCTTCCTCCTCCTCCTTCTTCTTTTCTAAATTGTCACCACGGGCATATCTCTCATCTCTGACCCTTACCACATCTCTTCTGTCCCCTTTCATTCCTCAGGTTTCACTTTGTCCTCTCATATTCTCTGTGATTCTGTTCTCCCTCCTAATATGGAAGCAGAGAAGGCAACAACTCAGAAACTCTTCCAACATTCATTGTTGTGTTAGCTGAGCTTTCCATTGCAGAGTTGGGAAGAGATCATGAAGATACTTCACTGAAATTCTGCATTTAAGCAGAATTTGGGTTCCCTAACCTTACAAATATGCTTATATAGCTTTGGTTATAGAAAGTTTATTTTCTGTAAATTGAAAACTAGTCATGAAATACAAGTAGATGACAATATCTTATCCTAAGTATCATTCAGAGTTTATAAAACAGCTGCTCAAATGCCTTATGACACACACTGCCTGTCAAAGTGGATGATGTCTTTCTGGATAAGTGTAGCCCAGGGGGTAACCTAGGTGCCTGAAGACACTTCCTCCGTTGTGTTGTGAGATAAGCTGGGCTCTACTACTTTGTACAACAATGTCACTTCTCTTCTTGATTTCTATGTCCCCAGCCCTGCACACTTATGAACAGGTGCTCACAGCCTGTGCAAGAGTCAGTGCCACTCGGGCCCGGCGCGGTGGCGCAAGTGGTTAAAGGTCCTCGCCTTGCACGCCCGGGATCCCATATGGGCGCCGGTTCTAATCCCGGCAGCCCCGCTTCCCTTCCAGCTCCCTGCCTGTGGCCTGGGAAAGCAGTCGAGGACAGCCCAAAGCTTTGGGACCCTGCACCCGTGTGGGAGACCCGGAAGAGGCTCCTGGCTTCGGATCGACATAGTATCGGCCCGTTGCGGCTCACTTGGGGAGTGAATCATCAGACGGAAGATCTTCCTCTCTGTATCTCCTCTCTGTATATCCGCCTTTCCAATGAAAAAATAATAAAAATAAATCTTTAAAAAAAAAGAGTCAGTGCCACTCAGGACACAGCATGGACATGAAGGACCCTGCTCAGCTCCTGGGCCTCCTGCTGCTCTGGCTCCTAGGTGAGGAAGGACAACAGCACGAATTGTCTCAGCTCTTGTGTTCAGTGCTGTCTGAAACTTCCTGTCTCCTCTGTATGAACATGCTGATGAGAGTGGATGTTTGTGTTTGTGTTTCTCTCCTCAGGTGCCAGATGTGCCATGGTGACCCAGACTCCATCTGTGGTGTCTGCACCTGTGGGAGGCACAGCCACCATTAATTGCCAGTCAAGTCAGAGTGTTGATAGCAACAATGCTCTAGCCTGGTATCAGCAGAAACCAGGGCAACGTCCAAAGCGCCTGATCTATGCTGCATCCAGTTTAGATTCTGGGGTCCCCTCGAGGTTTAAGGGCAGTGGATCTGGGACATCATTCACTCTCACCATCAGCGGGGTGCAGGCTGACGATGCAGGAACCTACTACTGTGCTGGGCAATATTATACTAGTGGGAATTACACTCACAGGGTGATACAAGCCTGAACCAAAACCTCCCATGAGAGCAGGAGTGAATGTAAGTTTAACCAGCTGCTCCTCCCAGCCTTCTATCTGCTAAAATTCATTCTCTAATTCAGTAAATCTTCACTGGTCCCTGGAAGGTAGTTAGAAAGAAAAAAATAAACAAATCAGAACATCTTGTTTCATTCACAGTGGAGAGGGCTGAGCTTTCCCACTCCTCAGAGGAGAAGAGGTCACAACGAGATTTCACTGAAGAGATTCTGCATCAAAGAGCAGTTTGGGCTCCCTCACCTTGTAAATGCCTTTGCCTGTCTTCTGTTATAGCTGACACTGATGAGAACAAAATGATAGTTCATGGATCTCAGGGGATATTCAATTTATCAGGGATGTACTGTAATAAATTATTTAACTGTTTTGACTAAAATCACTCACTTCTGTCCCTGTTCTTTCAGGTTCAGGGTGCCCCATATGTCCTACTCTGTGGGCCCTTCCTCCCCTCTCTGCAACAACGTTCTCTACTGCCTCACCAAGCTTTCAACCTTGGCTTTATTCCATCATGTGTGGACGAGTATATTGCATTATATAACTGTCAGCCAGATAATTCAGGATTGCAAACTGACTGTAATTTCCAGATTACAGTTGTTAGCTAATCGATCTCAGATTTCAGAATCAAGGAAGATGTGTGGAACACAGAGCTGGAGGAAATTTGAGATCAAATCTGAGTATGTGACTGAAGTTGGGTGATGTGTATTTTCAGCTTATAATGGAATTTGCAGATTGACACCACAGGTCTAGAGTCACTTTGGTTTTGTAAGTAAGATTGAAGTACTGCTTTGGCAACTAACAGATGGAATACAGACATTCTAGTTGTTTTTTTTTTTTTTAATTTTCTTAAAATTTCCATCACTTAGAAATTAGACCTGACATGATTTGAGCTGAGGTACACTGTGTAAAAATCAATATTGACCACACATTTATGTTGGAACAGAGGAACAGTGAAGTAGACTAGTGAGACAAAGAGAGAAGAAAGAAGGACTCTCCTAAGTTAGGAGATGTTAGTTTCCATGGAATATAGGTAAAAGTCTCAGAACTGACTCCTGGGAGAGGTGAGGGAGCTGAGGTCATTTACCACCTCCTGCTGTCATGCACAGAGGGTTCCCCAAGGGCTGCTCAACCAAGGCCCTGTGGTCTGCATGTGAGCAGGCTGAGCTGCCTCCTCAGCTCAGAGAGCTCAGTGCAGCCCAGTCAGGAGTGGAGGGAGTCAGCAGATGAACAATGAAGGGGAAGGATGGGCTGGTCCTGCTACCCTCCTCCTTGACAGATGTGAGCATTGATTGTGTCTGGAATGGCAGTTTTCTGCTGGGAGACCCTGGTCTGTTCTTTGTTAGTAGGTGCCCTGAGATACCAAACCCCAGGAGAGGCATCAGGAGGCTTGTGAAGAGGCTGCCCAAGTGATCTTGTCACCTGTATTCATGCTTCAGTAATACCCACCTCCTTCATGGTGTACAGGCTCTTTGGTACTGAGATGGTGACATTCTGGTCACACTCTAGTGATGCAGACTGTGTCAGGGGCACAGATAGAAATGTGAGATTCAGGAGTGCAAATCAGGGTCCAAGTTTATTGCAATACAAGATATTCTCTATGTTATTGGTACTAGCGTGACAAAGTAGATCTTCCTGGATAGGGAAAAGGAGAGTGTTGCCATCCTCCCCTGGCCCTGATAAAGAGGAGAAGATGAAGGACGACACTGCAGTGTGTGATGTGGAGTGGCACCCAGCAGCAGGTACCCTCATTTAAGAAAGAGGTGTCAATAAATTAGTTTTTCTGCTGCTCTACCTCCTCACCTGTTTTCCATGTCCCAGGATCCAGAGATGATCACCTGAGTCCCAGTTTAGATACTTCAACCGGAAGAGTGTATATGGGATTTCTTTGTGTGTATCAGAAACTTGTTCTGCGTGTGAAGTCATCTAAAGCGACTGGTGGATCTTATTCCAGGTACCTACAGAAGAATGTAAACATTGATGATCAATGCATACTGACATTTCACATCAGTTGTCAGAGTTTCAAGTTGATGAAGTTCAGTAAATGAGAGTCAGTGACAGAAAATTGTATTGCAGAGGCTCTCATGTCAAGAAAGGGAAGGCTATTTAGTCTCAGGTCACAAGAACCCCTTGTTTTATTGAGGTGCATCTATCTGCAGTATGTTGCTTCTGAGGATTCAGATTCTAATCATATTTGAGTGCTATTAATTTAGGGATCCCCTATATACTTCTATGAATCCCTCTTTTTCTCTTTTCTAAGTAGCATAAATGAAATAATTTCAGACTCCCAGAAATACATAGGTAATAAGAAAAGCATGTGAAGAATTTGAGGGCAGGCTAAGGAGTTGATGGAATTACTATATAGCATGGTCCTGCACCTTCTGTAACAGTAAGTTGCTCTCCTATAAATTGAAACATAGACATGAAATACAAATAGATGACATTACCTTCTCCTGGGTTCATTTAATTTGTCAACAGATCCTTAAATGCTTTGCTTCACATAATGCGTGCCAGAGAGGATCATGTTTTGTTCAGGCATATTACTGAAGCCCAGAATATGACCTCATGGCTGCAGACTATACTCTGTTGTGTTATGAGATGAGCTGGGCTCTTCTGCTTTGCAATCAGTATCACTACCCTTGCTGATTTGCATGTCCCCTGGGCACAGCCCCTAGCCCTGCACACTTATGAGCAGGTGCTCACAGCCTGTGCAGGAGTCAGTGCCACTCAGGACACAGCATGGACATGAGGGCACCTGCTCAGCTCCTGGGGCTCCTGCTGCTCTGGCTCCTAGGTGAGGAAGGACAACAGCAGGAATTGTCTCAGCTCTTGTTGTCAGTGCTGACTGAATCTTCCTGTCTCCTCTGTATGGACATGCTGATGAGAGTGGATGTTTGTGTTTGTGTTTCTCTTCTCAGGTGCCAGATGTTCCGGCCAAACAGTAACCCAGAGTCCATCTGTGGTGTCTGCACCTGTAGGAGGCACAGCCACCATCAATTGCCAGTCAAGTCCGAGTGTTTACAACAACAATTATCTAAACTGGCTTCAGCAGAAACCAGGGCAACGTCCAAAGCTCCTGATCTATGATGCATCCACTTTAGCCTCTGGGGTCCCCTCGAGGTTCAAGGGCAGTGGCTCTGGGACATCATTCACTCTCACCATCAGCGGGGTGCAGGCTGAGGACGCAGGAACCTACTACTGTGCTGGGTATTATTATACTAGTGGTAGTTGGACTTACACAGTGATACAAGCCTGAACAAAAACCACCCATGAAAGCAGAAGTGTGAACCTGAGCTTGCCTAGCTTCCTGGAGCCCTAATCTACCAACAGTCACTCTCTGTTGCGGTCAGCCTTCCATGGACTCTTTAACATAGGGATCACGCTCTGTGGAATACTGTAGCCTCTCTCATTTGCCTTTACTGGGCACTTCCAGTATAGTACTGATTTAAAGGAAAGAAATAATTATGCCTGAGTATTCATTGTTACAATATCCTTTTTGGCTCATTCAAAAAAGGAAGCATTATGGATATTTCCAGCAGAAACCATAAATACAATTTATTAAAATCCAAAATACAGTTTCATGTTCTAAGAATGTGGGTATCAGGGGTAGTGATCATTAAAATATGGGATTCTGTGCTCTCCATGGATCCAATGCTCCTTTGCCACAGGAGGAACAGGCTGCTCACCCTGTGTCCTCAGCCCTGGAGCTGATGTTTTAACTGCATATGGTTGCACAGGTGATTCCCCAGGCCTTCATTCCTGGATCTGCCTAAGGGTGCAGATGAATGTTCCAGAAATTGTCATCTGACATTCAAATCACAGAGTACATGGGTTGTTTGCCCCAAGTCCCATGTTGGTTTGGGAACTGCAATTTTAACCAGGAGTTTATATATTTAAATATCTTCTTCCACATGGCCATGTTCACTACATGTTTGATGCTGTAACTTGGGACAGGGCACAAGAAAAGCATGATGATGTGAATTCCATATCATGCTGACCTGTTTAGCTACATACACATTTCTCCATATAATCAATACAGTTCTCTTTGCAATTATTATTGCTACACTCAACTCTCTCAAAAGCTACAGAACATGAACATGATTACATTTCAGATTTCAGGGGAAGGAAGCATCTCACAACCTTTCCCTTTCCTCATCAGCTCTCTCTCTTCTCCTTCTCATCCTTCAGATTCAGCTCTGTCCTCTCACATTCTCTGCATTCTTATTTTCTACTGTTAGAATGCAAGAAGAGAAGCAAACCAATCAGAATTTCTTTCTCTACTCATGCTCGTTGATATCTGACCCTAGGCTTTAACACATTTGGTTCACATGAGGTCACTAACACCGTTTATTGAAGAAATATTCCATCTAACAGGAATTTGTGCTGCATCGTACTATCAACTATTGTCTAATTCTGCCAAACTGACACCAAATGAGGACAAAATGACGTTTTAACTTTTCCCGAAAGTCATTTAGGGGGTGGGAAAGGCTGAGGAGAGCATAAATTAATTGCTTTGTTAGGCTGGTAAGTATCATTTATAAATAATGGTAGAGTTTATGTTATCAAATTGGACACCATGTTAATATCCCAGTACAAGAGGTCAGAGGTTTGCTGGGATGAAACCCAGGAGGAATCAAGGCTGTGCTCCTTCTGACAGTTCCAGGGTGGGGAGATCCAGGTTTCTTGCTCTTCCAGCTTCAGGATGCACCACGTGTCCTGCTTTGTGGTCCATTTCTCCACTCATTTAGCATCATTCTCCATTGATATACTTCCTCGCTGACCTACTAAAATTTCTATGGATAGGAGGATTATATTATATTATATTGTATTATATTATATTATATTATATTATATTATATTATATTATATTATATTATATTATATTATATTATATTATATTACTGTCAGCCAAATCAAGATAATATATAGAGTACAGTTATTACATAGTTAATCTGCTAACCTCTTTTCACATTTAAAGTCTGGAGCGTCTGGCCACTATGTTGTACTGTGCAAGGAGATGAGCTGGGATTATCATTTCTGCACAGCACTGCCTCATTCACTGCTGAATTCCATTTTCCCAGGGTACAGCCCATTGCCCTGCACACTTATAAGCAGCTGCTCACAGCCTCTGCAGGAGTCAATGCCAGTCAGGACACAGCATGGACATGAGGGCCCTGCTCAGCTCCTGGGCCTCCTGCTGCACTGATTCCCAGATAAGGAAGGGCAAGAGAGCAAGAATTGACTCAGTTCTTGAGGCCAGTGCTATCTGAATCTCCCTGTCTTGTGTATGATCATCGTGTGTGGATCTATGTGTTTGTGTTTCTCTTCTCAGGTGCCAAATGTTCCGGCCAAACAGTGACCCAGAGTCCATCCGTGGTGTCTGCACCTGTGGGAGGCACAGCCACCATCAATTGCCAGTCAAGTCAGAGTGTTTACCTCAACAATGTTTTATCCTGGTATCAGCAGAAACCAGGGCTACCTCTGAAGCTCCTGATCTGGGGTACATCCACTTTAGCATCTGGGGTCCCTTCGAGGTTCAAGGGCAGTGGATCTGGGACATCGTTCACTCTCACCATCAGCAAGGTGCTGGCTGCAGATTCAGGAACCTATTACTGTCAAGGAGCTTATGGTAGTGGGAGTAGTATTAGTTACACTCCCACAGTGATACTATGCATGTTTTCCTACATACTTTTCTTGGGACTGTGCCACTGGGTCTCACATGGTTCCCTGGGGACATTCCACATCTGCCAATCAACTCATTTAAGACAGCCCTGAAATGGCACACAACCTGTGGAGCACTGCTACTGATTTGTACATATCTGTGGCACAGCCCACTGCCATGCAGACATAAGAGCAGGTACTCACACGCTTTGTAGGTGTTAGGTGCCAGCCAGGGCACAGCATGGATATGATGCTTCTGCTCAGCTCCTGGAGCTCCTTCTGCTCTGGCTCCCAGGTGAGGAAGGACAACACCAAGAACTGCCAGTTTTGTTAGATCTGCCTGACCTTTTCTCTTTCTCCTATGTAACATTGTGATGAGAGAGGCTTCTTCTGTTTGTTTCCCATTTCAGTTACTAGATGTACTAAATGAATTATGCATTCTTCGTCGCTGATGTCTGCCAACATGGAGACACAACAGCATTTCTCATACGAGTCAGAAAGTTAGCAGCAATAGGTTAACTTGTTATCCACAGAAACAAGGGAAATCTCAGAAGTTACAGATATATCAAGCATCCAGTTTAGAATCTTGGGTTCCATTGAGGTTCAAGTGGCAGTGGATGTGTACATCAAGTGTGCCATCTAGTGTGCAGCCTGAAGATATTACCACTTCCTACTGTCAACAGAGTAGCTGTACACCTCCTACAAGGTTTCTAGCCTGAACAAAACCCTCCAAAGGAAAGAAGCAATGTGTCTGTGTTCCTGTTTTATTCCTCCTGTGGCTGCCATCTGCCACTGGAGACATTCCCAGTGCCATCCATGCTTGAAGTTCCTTGGGAGGCTTGAGGAAGGGCCAAGGTTCTCCTGTGCATCTTCCCTCTCTTTTCTTCTTCTTGACAATTGCAAGACAGACATGACTAATCCTCCACTGCATTAAAGGAAAGAGAATAGTAAGCCTGACTACTGAATGCCACAGCATTTTTCTTGAGTAATAGAGCATAGATTTATGCTTTGTAGATAATTCTAAGCAGTAATATAACTTCATACCATTTATTAGGACTACACTAAAGGCATCTGTCTCCAAGACCTGTTTAGGTTAAAGGTGTTGATGGTAGAAATGAGAGACTATGCACTCTGGAACACACCAATGTCCCTTTGACACAAAAGGAGCAGGCCCCTGAACCCTGTGGTCCTCAGCTCTCTAGCTGATACACTCAGCTGCCACAGCATTCACACATTGTTCTCGAGTCTTTATTTTATCCCTTGTTCTGCCGGGCAGGTGCAGAAGAATGGCACAGACTTCTCTTCTTCATATTTTCACATTTCAGAGCTTATTTGTTTTTTGCATGGTGAACAAGTATGGTCATATGATATTTGAACCCAGGCCATCATAGCGTTAAATAATCCCCTTCTGCATGGCCATGTTGAGTTCATATTTAAAGCTGTCATCTACAGCAAAGGCACAAGACAAATGTGGAATGAATTGAAACCTGATGTTGCTGCTGCCCCCATTTCACCCCATGTTGACTTCCTTCTTTAAGCCAGCCCTCTCTGCACTGTTGCCTGCCATATACAACTGACACACAACTTTCCCACACGACAGGTGGTTCCAGTGAATGACTGAGCAGCCCAGGCAACTCCTCTTTGCCCTTCCTTCTATTTAGAGTGATTCTCATGCAGCCAGGTTTCAAGACCTCTGGAAAATTTGTTCAATGGCCTGGTGTTGGCACCTAGTGTCCTATCCTTGCATGCACTGGGATCTCATGTGGTTGCCTGTTTATGTCAAACGGGCTCTACCACTTGTCCAGTTCTGGCCATTACACCCCCTTGAGGATTGAAACTCAGGATGGAAGACCTTTCTGCCTCTACTCTTCTTTATATTCTGGCTTTCCAATAAAAATAAATGAATCTTGTTAAAAAAGGGCAAGTTTGTTAGAGGCTGTGGCAGCTCATGTCAAACATCCGCTATTTTCAAATCATTGATGATTGTAGCATAGACATGATGGTGAGTTTATCCATTTTAAAAAAAAGAAAAATAAAGAAATGAGACCTTGATGTGAGAGCAAACCTTTGGATTAATAGAGCTAAAAAAAAAATGCAGGTATTCCAATCAGAACTAGCTGAATACAGTTCATTAAAACCTAAGTGAATGTGCTAAAAAAAGTGGTTAGAGACGGTGACTGAGGTTATAGGGATTCTTCTCTCCCAGAAGCCATTGCCTTCTGACATGAAAGGAACGGGTTTCAGAGCCCTGTCTTCCTCTACTCTGGAGCTGATGCTCTTAGCTGCCCACAGCACTCAGAGTTGGTTTCCCAGTCCTCATGTGGTGCATGATCAGCATGCTGGTGCAGATGGATGGTACACAATTCTCTTGACTTTCACATCTCAGTGCACTTGGGATGCTTGTATTATGATTGTTGTGATGAAGTGTGGCTATCTAGAATAGCCACCCAGCCAGTACAATTTAAATATCTGCTTTCCAAATGGCCAGGTTCACAACATATTTTAGGTTTAGAATAGAGCAAAGGGATAAGACCCATTCAGAATGAAGTGAAATCCAAGATTTCTCCTTACCTGTTTCACTCCATATTGACTCATATATGAATGTCAGCCTTCTGCAGTTTTGCCACCCACAAACAATTGTCTCAAAACCTTCACAACACAAGGTGATTTTATTTCACATTGGATGGCTGGGGCCTGTTGAACATTTCTTAATTCTTTCTTCATCTCCTCTGTCCCTTCTCATCCCTGGAACTCAGTGCTGTTCTCCCATATTTTCTGTGGTTCTCTTCTCTCCTGCTTAGATGGAAACAGAAAAGCAAGCAAATAAAAGATTCTTCTCCACTTACAGACTTTGATAGCTGAGCCCTAAGCTCTCATATTCCTGGATTGACAGACAAGAGGTCACCCACCAAGATATTACACTCAGAAGTTTTTCCACCTGAGATGAATTTCTGTTCTCACCCATTATAATCAACTGTTGTTTGTGTTCTTTAAAATATCAAATGAGAACAAAGTGAACATTGAACATTTTAAATGTCAGTCATACATTGAGGAGGGAAATAGAGGTTTTGCCTATATAGAATAGAGAAGAGCCTCAGGGTTGACTCACCATAACAGTGAGGAACCTGGGATTCTTAGCAATTTCTGCTGTTGTGCTTTGAGAGTCCATGTCTTATTGGAATCCATGATATTGTTCCATGTGGATTGTTCATAGTTTGACAAAGTGCAGATTCCTGGCCTGGTCCTGAAGGCCTGTTGCTCTTTTTCACACCCCTCCCTGCCATGACTCTATATAGATTAGAAGAGGAATGCAGCACTCAGAGCACAGGTAAGGACCTACAGCAAGCAGCAGCTACCCTCAGCTATGATGGAGGAGTACTAAATCAGCCTTTCTCCTGGCCTACCTCCTCACCTGTTCTCTAGTACCAAGTTCTACAGATGTTCCACCTGATCCTCCAGAGACATGCTGTTAGATGCTGTTGCTTTGGGGGCAAATTCAAGAGGAGGTTCTGAACTGGTCTTCTTCATCTTTTTCAGAATATTAGTATTTTGTGAAACCATCCAAAGAGTGTTGTCCACCTACCAGGTTTCAGAGTGGGTCCACCTGAGTTCCAGTGGTAGACACTGTAATTGAGAAAAACTAACCAGGAGACTCCTCTATGGTTTCTTTTTCTTTTTCAAGGATTTTTAGATGTGAACTCATTAAGTGTTTAATGTAGCCCGTATTCCAGGTACGTACAGATGAATTCAAACACTGAACAGCTCCATTCATGACATTTCATATCAAGTCTGATCTTATGGTGACGAAGTTCAGGAAATTGCAAAAATCTGTATCACAAAGACACTCATGTCAACAAAGGTGCAACCCATTTCGACTCTGGGCATAAGAGCCCTCTCCTCTATTATGGTGCATCTATCTGCAGCAAATATTTTCTCATTATTCAAACTCTAAGAGTGTCTGAGTGTCATTATATTGTCGCTCCTAAATATTTACAAGTCCCTGTTTACCTCTCTTCTACATTAATTATTTGAAATAAATTTAGATACAATGAATTAATAAGTAATAAATAAAGTATGGGAAGATGTTGAGGCTAGATCCAGAAGTTTATGAATTTAGTTTGTAGAATGGTACTGCATATTCTCTGCCAAAAATTTGTTCTGTAGATAAAACCTAACAATGAAATACAAGAAGATGATTGCATCTTATTCTTGGTATTATTTAGAGTTTGTCAAGATTTGCTCATATCCCTCAGGACACACACTGTTTGTCAAACAGTATTACTCTACAGCTAATTCAGTGCAGCCCAGAGGGTGACTTGGGTTCCTACAGACACTTCCTTTGTGCTCAGTTATGAGATGAGCTGGGCTCTTCTGCTTTGCGCAAGAATATCACTTCACCTGCTGATTTGCATGTCCATAGGGAACAGCCCACCACCCTGCACACTTATGAGCAGGCTGCTCTCAGCCTATGGAGGAGTCAGTGCCACTCAGGACACAGCATGGACATGAGGGTACCTGCTCAGCTCCTGGGGCTCCTGCTGCTCTGGCTCCTAGGTGAGGAAGGAGAATAGCAGGAATAGTCTCAGCCTTGTGGTCAGTGCTGACTGAGTCTTCCTGTCTCTTCTGTATGGACATGCTGATGAGAGTGGATGCTTGTGTTTGTGTTTCTCTTCTCAGGTGCCAGATGTTCCGGCCAAACAGTAACCCAGAGTCCATCCGTGGTGTCTGCACCTGTGGGAGACACAGCCACCATCAAATGCGAGTCAGATAAGAGTGTTGCTTACAACAATTATCTAAACTGGTATCAGCAGAAACCAGGGCAACGTCCAAAGCTCCTGATCTATGCTGCATCCACTTTAGAGTCTGGGGTCCCCTCGAGGTTCAAGGGCAGTGGCTCTGGGACATCATTCACCCTCACCATCAGCGGGGTGCAGGAGGCAGATGTAGGAACCTGCTACTGTCAAGGAGATTTTGGTAGCTGGACATACAGTGATACAAGCCTGAACAAAAGCCTCCTATGAAAGCAGAAGTGTGAGCTTTGGCTTCCCCACCTACTCCTCCAGGGACATCTATCTGCTAAGTAAGTCTTTCAAGGTCTCCGGAAGGTAGTTAGGAAGGCCCTGAAACTCCTTTCTAGTTTCCCTCATTCCTTTTGCTTAGCATCTGCCTCTCAGAAATGTACATAACTTTACTCATTTAAAGGGAAGAAGTGATTATGCTTGAGTACTCAGTGTTACTTTATGCCTTTGATTCATACAGTAAAAGGGAATTGGTATGGACCATTCAAGCAGAAAAATTAAGTGGAGTTTATTATAATCCAAATTATGCTTTCATGTACTAGGAATGTGGGGCTAAGACGGTGATCTTAGAAACATGTGCGTCTGTATTCACCCCAAATCCAATGCCTCTCAGAGAGAAGGAACAGGCTCCTGACTCTGTGGTCCTCTTCCCTGGAGTTGATGCTCCCAGCTGCCTGCAGCCTCACAGGTGGTTCCTCAGTCCTTCATTACTGGTCTTTCTGCAAGTCCTGATGGATTTTCTGAACTTGTCTTCTGACATTCAAACCTCAAGGCAAATGGGTTGTTTGTTTCAAGACCCATGGTGAACTAGGAAATGCAATTTTAACTCGGGTGAATAAACATCTAAATAATGCTTTCTTCCTGATGTCCATGTTCACTCCATATTTGAGGCTGAAACTAAAGGCATGGTGAGAGAAAGCCATGGTGATGTGAAATCAAGAAATCACACTGACCTGATTAACTCCATGTTGGTACAGGTCTTTAACACAGCCCTCTCTGCAGTTTAGTCAGCCACATACAACTGTCTCAAAGCTGTCACAGACAACAGGTGATAACACTTCAGATTTGTGGGGAGAGGAGCATCTCACATCCCTGACCCTTTCCTCATCTGCTCTGTCCCTTCTCATCCCTCAGACTCAGTCCTCTTCTCTCACATTCTCTATAATCTTATTTTCTCCTCCTAATGTAGAAACAAAGTCAGAAACTAATCAGAAACTCCTCTTCCACTCATACTCTTCGATAACTGAGCTCTAGGCTTTCACACACCTTGTTGGCAAGATGTCACTAAGATAATTCACTGAAGAGATTTTCCTGCTAAAAGGAATTTGTGCTCCCAACTTAAAATCTACTGTTGCCTAATTCTCTCAAACTGTCACTAAATGAGAACAAAGTGACACTTGAAGTTCTCAGAGGTCAGTCAATTGTAGGGGATGGAAGAGGGGTGAAACTATCTGTATTTCTTTAGCTGCAATATTTTTTTAAATAAATTACTGTACTGTTTATGGTTTCAATTTTACACTTTGCTTTCCTGTCAGTTCAGGAAGTAAGAGTGTTCACTGTGTTGAAACAGAGGAAGCGGCAGGGCTGTGCTCCTTCTGGCATCTCCAGAGGGGAGGAACCTAGTCTCTGTTCCTTCAACTTCAGGATACCCCATGTGTCCTGCTCTGTGGTCCTTCCATCTCTCACTCCAACAGCCTTCTCCATTATTACACCCACTTTCTGAAATAGACCCAATTTTCTCTTTTAAGAATGATTATATTATACTATATTATATTATAATTACTCTCAGCCAAATAATTCTTGATAAACTCAAGAAAGAATGGTTCATAGCAGGGCAGATCAGTAGGAGAAGAAAAATTCTTGCAAAGCCAGTGGTGAGGATTAACTATAGTGATGTACCTAGAGAGGGAGGCAGGAGCAGGTGAGTCAGCCAAGGAATGAAATGGGAAGGTTCAGTGTCAGCAGGCACATGGGAGAGGCATCTGCTCCATACTTAAATTCTTTTCCTAAGAGGCAGGTGAGGCTGACTCTGGTTAAGTGCTTAAATCTATTTTGCAGACAACTGAGACGTTAGAGGAAAAGGCAAGCTCTGAATGAAGCAGAAAAAGGCTCATGACAGATCATTTCAGGCTGCTTTTTGTGGCAGGGCTTGCTTGTGCAAAGGACCCAGTCAGGCTGTTCCACTCAGACTTCCCTTAGTAGTACAAACTCTGCAATGAAGCAGGAGACAGGGTCTGTTCAACCGAGAAGGTAGAGACAGAAGGGTAGGAAGGAAGCAGCTGGGACAGCAGGAGCTCACTCCCTTCTGGTCCTTAGGAGGAGGTGTGTATTGGAGGCTGAAACCCTGTGAAAGGACTGCTCTCATGCTGCACACAGGAGTAATCTCCCACGTCCTCAGGCTGGATTCTGTTGATGGTGAGGGTGAATTCTTTCCCTGAACATTGTCACTGAGTCTGTGAGGACTCCAGTTTCTTGAGTGACGCACAAACAGAAGAGCAGCTTATCAGCCTGTCCCAGTTTCATCTGGTACTGGGCTAGGGACTTCTTGTGGATGGAAATGGATCAGAAACTTTGCCCTGACTTGCCCTTCATGGGTACCTTCTCTCCTGCATACAGAGTTAAAGAGCTGGAAACTGTGTCATCACGTGTCCTCACAGGTACTAGCAATGAGGTTTGGACAGTGAACACACAATGCTTCAGGTATATCTCAAAATTCCTGTCTGGAAAGTGTAAGTTATCCACTTCTGTAGGGCAAATAAGACTTCTCTGGTGAAATTTCAAGGCATCCATTGGAATGCTTGTGAGCAGTAGCAGGGGATGGAACTGAACCAGGGGGCTGCAGCCAGCATGTGTGCATATGCTGATGTGGGTCAAGGACTGAGCTGGACTTCATGCTGGCTGTTACATACAGGACCTAGGTTGGGGTCACCTCTGGGAAGTTGATTGGTGGACTCCCCTAACTGGATCACTGGATTTAGAACTCCGTCTACTGTGAAAATCACAGGCTATGTGATCTGTCAATGGGATGCATGTGTCAGAACTGGCTCTTCATGGTTGCTGAGGCCTGTGTGGTGGCCGATATGCCCACATGCTAGTTGTGACAGTGAAACAGTTCATTGAGGCCTGCAGAGGACATCTAGTTCCATGGAGAGCAAACCAAATGAGACAGCTCTCCCTGACAAGTATTTAGGCAAATCACGACTCTATGTTGGACTGTGTAGGCAATTGACCTTGGGAGGATTTCCTCCACCTTGGAGCAATGAAATCAACAACATCTCAGAATTGTTCAAACCACTGAAGCAGTATGCTTGGAACATGATCCACATAAGGGACACTGGGATGACAATGGTTGGCCTACCCCTATTCCTGGGTACTGATATGGTTGGCTTGCTGGGAGCAGCCTTCTACCCTTTTCTCTCCACTTTCCCCAGATACTTGAAGCAAAAATGATTCTGGGAGCAGTTGTTTCATCCAATTTTCTTCATGCTCGACCCACCCCATCCTCATAGGTGTTCCACATGAGCAGGCATCCCTCTCAACTATGTAAACATCATCAAACATAAAACGCATTTACAATTAAAATTTTTTTACTTTAATATACTTTTATACAAAGGGAGCAAATTTCATGTACTTCATATCGACCATTAAGATGAGTATTGATTCTTTCTACTGTACTATCTGATCGTATCTCTTTCTTTTGTTATCTTCCTTTTAATTTATATGATGACATACTCTCAATTTTTATTTACAAGCTTATCCCTTCACGAAATAAGAAATTCAACAAACAGATAGAAGGTAGAAAATCTGCTGTTCCACAGGGAATAAACAAGAGTTCAAGTCCTCCTTAATTTCCCTGCAAGTACCAGAGCTGAGGGGCCATACCTCCCCCTGGCGTTCCCTGGGAAAATCGTGTCTGCTTTCAATCTGGTAGAGCAGCTCTGTATGTCATGCGAAGTTAGAAAGAACATTCTCATAGACTTGCTTCAAAAACTGTGTCATTGATTGCCCCAAGTGACAGTCTCAAAATATCTTGAATAGTTACAGAACATTTTATCTCATACATTTTTCATTTAAATGGTCAAGGCAATGAACCAACAAGCAATGTTCTGGCCCTGTGTCCCCTCTGCTGTCTGAGGGTCCTCCTATGGGGCACTTTCATTGTTTGGGCTAATGGGGCAGAGGGTGTCCAGTTGCTCTTAGGGCACCCTCCTGTGGCAGGGTGGACAGGGGCAGAGTTAGAAGGAATGGTTCAGTGTAGTTCGACAGCAGTGCTATCTGGAAAAGTGAACTGAGTTGCAATCTCATTAAAGGCCAGACATTTAAATTTTCCTTTGCTGAAGAAAGAGTCTTTGCATTTGCATTTACCATTTCATCCAATCTAGACAGAGCTGTTCTGAAGGCATGGCTAGGCCTAACAGGGGGCATAGAATGCCAGCAATAAGCTTAGTCTTGCAGGGAGCATCTGTCATATAATGTGTGGTAGGAAGCAGAGCAGCAGAGCTGGGAACGTGACCACACTCATCATTTAGGGATAAGGAAACCATTGACTGCACCTGACCTTTAAGGAAGGAGACAGGGCTTTGAAACGGGGAAGCACACTAACATACTGAGAAAGGAAGCTAAGGTTTTGCTGAATTTTCATTAATCCTAGAGTTTGGAAAAACTGACATGAATTGACCTCAGACACTGTAAGAATCAGGACTTGTTCACCGTGTTTAGGGGTTCTTGTGTTGGCAGCACATTTAGTGGAAGAGGCAGAATGGTAATGCAGGGAATTGAAACAGAGAAGACAGATGAGAAAGACCCTTTGGTAAATCAGCTGTAGCTGAGGACTGGGCGATGTTGAGTGCACATGCAACACAGGCAAAGGCCTCAGGTTTGACTCCTGTTAGAGGTAAGGGAGCTGGGGTTCCTTAGCCCTCTTTCTGTTGTCATGCACAAACGGTAGGCTAGTGGCTGCTCCTCCCAGGCCCTGTGGTGTGCATGTGTGCAGCTGGAGTCCCCTCCTAACTCGAATTGTGCACCCAGACAGGAGTGGAGGGAGTCAGCCGAGGAACATGAAGTGGTAAGGATGGGGTCTTCTTGCTATTCTTCTCCTTAAAATGTGTCTGCATTCAACCTGGAAATGCAGTTTTATGTTGTCATATCTTTTTATGCTCTTTGTTAGAAAGTTTTCTTAGAAATCAGACACCCTACCACCAAAAGAAAAAAAAATAGAATTT